TGTCATTCAAGCCATTTGGTTCAGTCAAAGTGGAGTGGCCAGGCAAGGCTGATGGCCGTCACCTACATCACCCCCCTAAAGGTAAGGTTTACTGTTATGATTAATCACAACGCTGTGTGTTAATGTACTGACTTTACCAACTACTGGCCTCAGTAGGGTTGCCCATTAAGCAATTGAACATAAAGTGGCATCAAGCAAGTGAGCATAATAGGTATTCACCCAGAAGCAAATCAACTGTCTCAGACAACTGGATTGGACTATTTAAAACCTGATTAAGACTGCCTGTAGCGTAGAGGCCAGGGGCCCGTTTCTTGAAAGTCCCGATAATTAACGGGCCCGGTAAGCTGTCTTGGTTTCCATTAAAGATCGAGGTTTCAATAGTTTTGGATCTAACATGATAAAACTATCAGTTAACGAAACAAAATGCAGTAGTTTGCTAGGCGGGACCCACGCTCTTTAATATTCTTTTTATTTCGATTTGAATATTTGATTTCAGGCCCGTAAAGTTAACAGGACTTTCGAGAAACGGGCCTCAGGGCATTAATGAATGTTGAAATGCAGATGTAGTCCTAACAATGCATGACGGGAAAGATGTAAATAATATTTTTCATGTCACCATCCTGAGATAAAGATAATTTGAACATGGATTCCATTTAGCTGCAGAGGAACTTGAGGCCACTGAGCTCTACCCTACAGCTATTAAGTGTTAAATAATGCTTGATCTGTGGAAGTGTGTTTGGCTGAGTGGTTAACACTTTGACCTCCAGATATGGAGGTCGAGGGTTCAAGCCTCGCCTGTAACATTGTTTTCTTAGACAAGGAACTTACTGCACTTTGTCTCTCTTCACTCATGTATATAAATGGGTACTGGGGACATACTGCTGGCGGCTAACCTTTTGCGATGGACTAACATCTATCCAGGGGGGAATAGCAATACTCCTAGGCATACTTCATGCAAAGGAAACCAGGATAAGCTCTGGTTGTTTGGTCATTTGGCTCCTGTGCGCCTTTGTAAAGTGAAGCTTTCACATGTATGTATTACAATAATAATTTTGAAAAGTAATGTTGTTTAATTGTCTCTGATTTTTTTTTCAGGATATGTGTACTTGATCTTTGATTCTGAGAAGTCAGTTAAAGCCTTATTAGCATCCTGCACTCATGACTTCTGTAATGGTGGAGACTGGTACTTCAAGATTTCAAGTAGAAGGATGAGATGCAAGGAGGTAAATAAATATTTTAGGAACTAAAATTGTTTCCAAATACAAAAACCCAATTCCTAATTGTTTGTTACAACAACAAATTCTGCTTATGTTTTAGCTGAAAATAAGCTCATGGGTGGATATTTTTTTTAGAGGTTATCTAGCTAAAGCTGTTCATCAAAATGACCTCTGTGAAACATAAGATTATGCTACTCGCAAAATGACATTTTTTACTTTTTTCACACGTGTGACCATACGTTAATTTTCCGGAATATTGTAGTATTGTAATATTATTATGCTGATAAAATATTTCCACCTGAAGGAGACAATAACTTGTGAAGGTGGATTTCTTTGCTGTCTTCTAAATGAAAACTGGTTTTTGGTTTTCTGTAGGTTCAAGTGATTCCTTGGGTTTTGTCTGACACCAACTATGTCCGTGGCCCGCATCAGAGATTGGACACCAGTTGGACTGTGTTTGTTGGTGGACTCCATGGCATGCTTAATGCAGGTGGGACAATAATTATTTAACAATATTATATAGATTTAGCCAAGGCCAAAAGCAAAGCTCTTGAGGAATGCTTTAAGAAATGGCCTTCTCTAGTAACTCAACTTTTGCCATAAGCAAAAAGCAAACTGAATTCCACCTTTAAAAAATGGACCTGAGCCCGCGATCAATTAAAAACCAAAACTGGTCAGCGGATCACTTTTAAAAAATGTGTCACCTCCATGAGTTGTAGACCTGAGCCTGCAATACAGCCATTTACACTGGTCAGCAGATACCTTTTTTGACAGCTGTCAATTGACCTTAACATGGATGTCCCATACCAAGTTAAACACAGAAAGTATATACCTTAGACTCCTAGCTAGTATTAAAGTGTGACATTTGACATCGGTTTTCATGTTGTGTACGAACGGTCAGTCGCCAGGTGTAAGCTGATGTCACAAACCAAAACTTTTTGGATGGATAGATTACCAAATTTTTTAGCAATGGACACTTTGAGCTCTGCTATAAGTAATTTATAAATACTTTGTTGCCCGTGTTTAGACATGTCACCCCCTTCTAACTTACATGGACTCTAAAAAGATCAGATGACGGCAATGGCAACAAGAACGTCAAATAAGCTAAACAACAACTCTGCACTATAAAGCTTTTTCGTACATTTCTCCCGTTATCTTAGCTGGCAAATAGACTAATGGTAATCTTTCATCCTGCATGGCGTTTCTTTGCATACCCTTTCCTTGTATTTTCCACACATTTTAGTGGCCTTGTGAGAGGTACTGTACAGCATGGAAGGGCTCAAACCCTCTTGACCTTACTAACTACTGTTTTCATTTCTATTCTGCAGAGGGCCTGGCATATATCATGAATGAACTGTTTGGTGGGGTAGTCTATGCTGGTATTGACACAGATAAACATCGCTATCCCATTGGTAAGATTTCTGTTCTTGTACATTTTACTCACTATCTGTCTTCTCGCTGGCTACAAGCCTACAGTTAATTTTGGACCTCAGCACAACCTACGTTCAATGCGTGGTTTTCTAGAGCAGTGTCAAACTGTATTCCACTCGATGGTGTGTTTGCGTGTCGTTATTTTCTTCAAAATAATAATTTATAACATTAAAACAGTTATTAGATTCAGTTTGTGTGATATCCAGAATATTATCAACTTTGCAAGGTGTTTTTAACTGTTATCATCCTTGACCTATCCTTCTTGCTATCAAAAAAACCTCATCCAATAATATTTTTTATTAAATGCCTCATTTATTATAGGGTACTGGGGAAGCCTTATTTTCAAATTGAACAGTCTCATTTTTTCCTCATCAGGCTCTGGTCGCATTACATTTAATAATCAGAAGAGTTTCCTGGAAGCTGTAAGATCGGGTTTCATAGAGATTGAGACCCCAAAATTTGTGAAGAAGGCAAGTGCTGCTATCTGATGTTAAATGTATGCTTTCGACAAATTAGGCAACACCAATGTACAAATTTTTCTGTTCTCCTTAGGGTCAGCTCAGAGTGCAAAGAAAGTTGTGTCTGATAGCCCAAGGGCTAGTAGATTTTGCTATCGGGCCAGTGAATTCTGTTATTAACTTGCCCAACGGGCAAGTAAAGTTTTTTGAGGAATTCAAATTTAATTGCGTTCGAGGTACGAGAACGCAACCCCTAATTTGTGTTGGGTGTTCTGTGCATTATTGGGTGACCTGTGCAATAAATAAGGGAGGTCTTTTTGAGATTGCATTTTCGTTCGTCGTCGTCGACACACATTTGCCTCGCTTTGAGGCCCTTGCTTAAGTTTTTCCTCACTTTGACGCACTAACTCGTGTGGTGATTCTTGTGTCCTTGGCGTTCATCTTTCAAAGGTTTGCTAAGGTCTGATATTCTTCGTAAAGCGTTCATCTTTTAAAAAGTTTGCTGAACCTTCGTAAAGTGACATTGATCTGTGATTGCTGAATTGTCCAAAGCGTTCATCTTTCAGGAGTTTGCTGTTAAATTTTACTTTGGATTAAGCCTTCAGCCTTCATTTTTCAGCATGGTTCGTCACTGTCTTTGGAAAATGTCTGCGACTACTGGTGCATGCATCAAACTGGGTTTAGTTCGGCCTCCGTTATGCCACAAAGTAAATTTACCGAGTTGTGTAGCTCGGCAGCCATTTTGTCACCAAGTAAATTTACAAGTTGTGTAGCTCGGCAGCCATTGTGCCACAAAGTAAATCTACCGAGATGTGAAGCTCGGTGGCACCATTTGACCATGACTTGTGATATTTTCGGCACCAGACAAACGAACACTTTAACTCTATGTTATTTATTAGGAAAAACTTATAAATCAGCCCACAGTAGCGCCACTCTTGAGTCACTGAAATCAACACGCTCGACCAAATTACTGGAAATTACTGGACCAAATTACTGGAAAAGCCGCACACACGTTCCATTGAAGGCTTTGATAGGGTTAGTGCGAAGTTTGAATTCAAATGTGAAAGCTTTTAAACCAGTAAATTCAATGTAATTCATTTTGTCAACAAGTTGATGATTGGATGCTGTTAAAAATGACAGAGAAAATTATCCGAAGAAATGTTTTTGAAGAAAGAAAAAGAATCCCGGGTTAAGAACTAACCGGCCTTTGAGAAACTGCGTCCTGTAACTCGCACCAGTAAAACAAAATGTTCCATTTACACGTCCGACGCTGGCCAATGTATCTTCCGATTAAAAGCACTTGACACCGAACCATACGATATCTTTTGAAAACGTTCTTATAATGATACACAGTTTAAATAGAGGTTTCGCTGTACACAACCCTTACGTTCAAAATATGCCATAATCATATTTATCTACATCGCAACCACCCGTCCGCCTCAACAAACATATCAAACGCACTCTCCTAAGCTCTGATTACTCCTAGTACAGAAGTACTGTGAAATCAGTCTGCTCATCAAAACGTTTTTGGGGCTAGTTGAAATGATGTTTGGGCTAGTAAATGTTAGCTTCAGCTTGCCCAAATGGCAAGCTGTAAAAATGATGTTCTTTGCACCCTGCAGCTGTAGATCATTTTTAGCTCCTTACAAAACAAAATAAATTATTACAGTCAACAATTCTTTCTCAATGTGTTCTTTAGTCCTTAGTAGTCTAACAGCTTGGCAAAATCCACAGAACCAACAGGTCCTTGATAAAAGCCCTATTGAGGTTGCTGGAGTAAAGCAGTCCATATTATTATACTTATTTCCCTGTGATTAAACTTGCAGGTCCAAGTTGACCCATATTTAGAGGACTCTATGTGTGACATTTGTCGTACTACCACGGGCCCCTTCTTCTGTCGAGAGGAATCCTGTTTCAAGTACTACTGTCATTCATGTTGGTTATGGCATCACTCTATTGAAGGATATCGTCAGCACAGGTAAAACAAAAATGCTGAAATTGTGGATTTCCATTTTTGAATCAACAAACTGACCACAATTCCCCATACATTTTCTGCTCTCATATAGGAACCATGATTAGTTTCCCCCTTGGATGGTCAAAATGTATCCTATCTAGCCATGTGGCACAAGCTCCTTAATATAAGTGTCACTCTTTTAGCCAAGCCAACTTTTTGTTTCTCATATAAACAGTTTTTTTGCAACGTTTTGTAAGGAAATGTGTGGAAAGTTGGTTCGCCCATCAGGGTAGCTTGGGTAGGAGAGTGACCCTTCCACTATACCCGCGACAACTTTTCTCCGTATCATATACACAGGGCGTTAGCCACCCTAAAACCCCTTACAAAACCTACCAGCCCACAGCTTGAAATTTAGTCTAAGCTGCCTGTTTTGTTTTATTATTTCAGACCACTGACTCGTACAAGTAAGAGCAGCAGTGCTTAAAAGGAAGCAATGAAAGAGGGACAAGCATCATTGGTGATGGACCAGAACGGCAAGGTTTTATGCTGTTTACGCTGGTGTTTGGTACCGTTTGGTGCTGTTGCATGGAAAAAAAATAGTTTGCAACAATTTGTAGTGTTGTTTGAAGTTTTCATCTTTATATTTAAAGTTTTTGAATATGTTCACATTTTGAGGTATTGAATTATGTTTCGCCATGCCATAGTGTTATGGCTGCTAGTGTAGCTCATAAATTTATTGGTGGTTATACTGCTGTTGGCTGTTGGGGTGATCGTTGTGAGACTCTGTCTTTCGTTTTTTCACAAATGTTTTAAGCTGTAAATAGATAGACCTGCTTTTCGTGGAGATTTACTCTCCGTATGTTGAGATAACCCACATCAAATGGGGGATTGTACATGATGACATTGCTAAGCAAAGAGAATGGCAATTGCGACTGTATCAACAGCACGAATGAATCCCGAGCGCAGTATTTCAATTCACTCTGATTTTACACAAACCTGCGAAAAATATTGAGGTCAGGTAAAAATCCTATCCATGGCTAGTAGAATACCCTGCCGTCATAATTTGTTCAAGCTTGGGTAAGATTATCATGTACAATTACCTATGAAAAAAAATTGAATAAATCAACTCTCTTGTGTACAAGATGAAATTATTTATCGATGGTTAGCTTTATACTAAAGTACACAAACGAAAGTGAATGGTTTAGAATGTGGTAAAGGATTTTTCACCACCAGTCTATTTCATTGTCATAAAATGAAAATCGCTTATAGAAGAACAAAAAAATCTCTTGCAGTTTACTTTTCATGGGAAAATTATAGCATTCAGTTCATTGCAACCAGTTAAGATCTTCAGAAGGCGATTTCTTCTTTGATAATTAAGTAGTTTTCTTTTCCAAAAATTTCATTGTATGGCCATACTTCTTTGGAGCTTATTGAGCTATTTTTATCCGTTATGTTAATGCATTTTGTCTCGGATTTTTGTTTTAGCATGTTTTTGCGCGCTCTGTTTCAGGGTAATCTTTGTTTTGACAGTTTAATGGCACGTGGTTTCGTTATTTTGAACTATTTTACTTTTCTATTTAGTTTTAATTCGCGAAGTGTTTTTGCATTGGTAATGTTAATAGTGCAATTCTGATGTGATTCCGTGAAAGCTCTGTCACTTTCTGGACTTCCACCTAGTCTCGTTCAAATCTTGTTGCTCTTGAAAGCGGGCTGGGCCTGGCTTGGTTAGGAGCAAACTCTTTTTAAAAAGACGCCTTTGTCGTCCGCAGCAATAGTGATGTTCTATTAATTAAACATCAGTTTGTCGTCTAGCCTTCGTTTTCCAGATCATTAATTTATGAAGGTTTTTTT